TTTAGTCCATCAAGATGGACATTGTTAATAGCAAAAACTGTTTTGAAGTTGTGTTACATAAAATTGTTGTTCTTGCCATGTTTATGTTGATGAATTGGCTTTTCTCTTTTTCATGGTTATTTCAGACTAATGAGAATTACTCTGTATGTGCTTTCAATGTACTCAATATTTTTCATTTATATTAAGCAATAGTTTGAATTTACCAAGGCTGGAGAAAAAGGTAGGTAATAACAATGAACCTGTGCCTTTTGTTTCATGGTGGTTCCTGAAATTTACTTGTTAAAGGTGATTTACAAAGTCTTCTATCCTGAACTAAATAATATTTCATTATAATTAAAAGGTCTTAAATGGCTTTGGCCATTTTACTTACATTCTTGAAAAAATGGAAGATTTGGTAGAGTTTAAGCCCAAAAACCTAGTGCAGAATAATAATTTCCTATAATTTTTTATATTAAACATTGTCTATGTAAATGAGCAGTTGTATAAAATTATTTTCTTTGGCTACAGAAGTTCTTGGTTCTTTTCTAATATAATATTTTTATCTTTGATAATTTCATACTGTATTCATTTATTTTGATCATATTATCCCTCTCCCTCCTCCAGCTGCCTGTGGACACACCCCATGTCTCCTTCCCAACTTCATATCCTTTTTTAAAAATAATATACGGAGTCTAATTAGTGCTACCCTCTATGTGCATGAGTGTTAGACCATCTACTAGACCATGGGCATCCTATCAGAGGCCACATTCTTGAACAAAACTGACTCCCCTCCTTCCTCAACAGCCATCAATTGCTAGTAACTCCTGAGCTTGGACTGGGGCCTTGTGAACCCATTCCCTATTTATGCTGGAATGTATACTGGCTTGATCTTTTTCAAGCAATCACAGCAATTGTGAATTCATGAGTGCAACATCCCTGTCATGTCTGGAAGACAGTTTCACAGCAGTCCCTCCTAGCCACTGGCTCTTACAATCATTCTTCACCCAGTTTGCAATGTTTCCCTAGCTTTGAGAGAAGAGGTGTGATGTAAATGTCATGTTTAGGGCTGAGAACACCGTAGATACTTACTATCTGCACTTTGACCAGTTGTGAGTCTGTATATTTATTGCTATTCACTACAAAAACAATCTTCTCTGATGAGGGCCTGAGAGCTGAACTAATCTGTGGATTTGAAGATAAATATTTAGAAGGGAAAGTTTGATACTCTATCTATTTAGCAAAGTTCTCTTCTAGGGTTTGTGATGTCCCTAGTCACATGTTCTTGGCCAGGTTTATGATATCAGACATGAGTTCCTTCCTGTGTATTGGACCTTAAATCCAATCAGAAAACAATTAGTTATCTCCATAACATGCATACCACTATTGGAACAAGGTACATTTTTTCTGGGCCAGTCATTATTATAGAGCTCAGAGTTCAGTTGGGTAGAACTGCTCATGCCTGCCTTGCATAGAACCAACTTGATTTCTCCACGTCCTATGACTAAAGTATCGCAGTATCTTCATCAGACTTACATATGACTTCCCCCCATACATAAGCTGTTGCCATTGCTCACTGTATTCTTTTTTTAATATTTATTATTTTTATTTTATGTGTATGAGTGTATTGCCTACATGTGTATGAGTGCACCCGTGTCGTGCAGTGCCACGGAGGTCAGAAGAGGGCTTCGGATTCCCCTGGAACTGGAATTAAGGATGTTTTGCAGCCACCATGTGGGTGGTGGGAATCCAACCTGGGTCCTCTGCAAGAGCAGTCAGTGCTCTTAACCACTGAGCCATCTCTCCAGCCCCACATACAACTTTTATATTATGTTTATACTATCAATTTTTGTTGATGAACAACAGGAAATCACTAAACTTTTTTACTACTTTAATGCTCTCTCCATTTTTATGCTACATTTCTCACTAATATTTCATATAGAGAAATAACACATTTTTAAGTTGCTGGTAATGATAGGGAAAAGGCAAAAGTAACATCTGTCGTAATCTTTTCTTGGTATAATTATACATACATAGTTTCCTCGGATAAGAACTATCAGTTTTTTTCTTACTGTCATACAGTAAATGGGAATCAGTTATTTAACATTAGGTTTTCTGTAAAATACAATTTGTTTCTAAAGTATAGTATATAAACCACTTTTTTATTCCATTTATTAATGGATTTTTTTAATAGTGAATTTATGGCAGAAGAAAGTAATGAAAAGTTTTGGCAGTTTGTGGAAACAGTACGAGAATTAGCAATTTACAAGCAAACAGGTAAGTGATAGGCAAAATTTAGCTTATAAAATATGTATTAATGTATACACATTATATATGTTTTTAATAGTGATGACTAAATGTGAATACTTAATTGGGTTAGTAATTCTGAACGTTAAATTTGAGGGCTGGGCATGTAGCTCAGTTTGTTTAGTGCTTGTCTCACATGACAGAAGCCCTGGTTTGGATCCCCAGAATCACTCACACACTCACACACACACACACACACACACACACAAAAATATTCCAGGCATGATGGCATGCTCCTATAATCCTAGCATTCGGGAGGCAGGAGGCCAAGTTCAAGTTCACCCTTGGCTAGGTAGTCGGTCAATGATCAGCTACACAAAACCCTGTCTCAGAGAGAAAGAACCCTCTGTAAATTTTTAAAAATTGTTTTAATGGAAACTATTCCAGGAATGAATTTCTAAAATTTAATTTATTGTAAGAAAAATTAATAATGTTTAGATGTCAAATTATATTAAAGAAGAAATCAAACTTGATATTATTTTACCTACATTTCTTTGAAATATTGTTTTTGTTTTGTTTTGTCTTTTTGAGACGGTCTCCCTGTAGCCCCAGCTGTCCTGGAACTCACTATGTAGACCAGG